ACAACAAGCGGGGAAAGTGGCTGGGGGGTGGTGGTGGTGCTGTGATGAATTGGGAGCTTGGGATTGACATATATACACTAATATGTATAAAATGGATAACTAGTAAGAACCTGCTGTATAAAAAAATAAATAAAATTCAAAAAAAAACCAATGCCCCCAGAAAAAGATGTTCATCACTGCTAGTCATTAAGGAAATGCAAATTAAAACCACAGTGAAACACCATTACACACCTATGAGAATGGCTAAAATGAAAAAAGCACTCACACTTGGCAAAGTGCTGATGGGGTTGGAGAGCAAATATACATTGCTGCCGGGAGTGCGAAATGGTGCAGCCACTCTGGAGAACAGTTTGGCAGTTTCTTACCAAGTAAGTATACACTCACCATGTGACCCATCAGTCCCTCTCTTGGGTGTTTACACTAGAAAAGTGAAATTTTCAGTTCACACAGAAATGTCACACACTGGAAACAATCCAAATGGCCCTCCAGCAGTGAATGAGTAAATAAACTGTGGTATATCCATACCATGGAATAAGTCAGCGATAAAAATGAAAGAACTGCTATTGATACACCAGTAACTTGGATGAATCTCAAAGGCATTATGCTGAGAAAGAGAAGCCAGTGTCAAAAGATCCATTTATGTGATGTTCTCATAAAGCTTAGGGATAGTGGACAGATCAGGAGTTTTCAGAAGTTAGGGGTGGGAAGAGGTTGTGACAGCAAAAAGCACGGAGGGAGGTTTCTGGACTGGGAGAATTGTTTTGTGTTCTGATTGTAGTGGTGGCTGCGTGAATCTAGACCTGTGTTAAAATTCATTGCATTGTATACCAAAAAGTCAGTTTTACTGTATGATAATTTTTTTAAAGTAAAAGAAAACCAATTTTAATGAGTTGGAATTTAGTTGAATATGAAGCCTCATAGAATTTCCCATCTCTGTTTCTGTTGAATATAAAAAATTTTGAGCTGCTGAGTATAAAAAATTTTGAATAAAAATATTTTTGGTGTATTAAAAAAAAAACCCAAACCAGAAAAACACATAGGCATAGGAAACCCAAGGGTTGCAGATGTACTAGGGTGCTGGCCCATGATGAGGGCTGGGTAGGTGACAGGGTACAGGCAGCAGGGTTGCAGGACAGAGGGGGAAAAAAAGGGAAAGTGAGAACAATGAAAAATTGAAGGGCCTTGCATGGGCCGGTGGGAGTGTGCCGTGCAGAGAATAATAGTGAACAAGTTACATCTGAGACCGTTTGTGTGATTCATCCACGTTGGTACATGGAGTTGTAGATCCATTTATGATCATTGCTGTATTGTATTCCATCATACAAGTATGTCCCAACTCATCTGTTCTATTTTTGATGGGCTTTTTGGGGCTATTAGTGCTGCTTTGGACTTTCTTCTGCCTGTCTTTTCAAGAATGTCCAGATGCATTTCTGTTAGGCTTATACCTCAGAGTGGAGTTGGTGTGTCAGAAGGGGTACATTATGTTCGGTTTTAGTAGATACTGCCAAATAATGTTTAAAAGTTGTTATACCAACTTATATTAGTATATGAAAATGCCAGTTCTCGTTGCTGCAGGTCCTTGCCAGTACTTGGTATTGTCTATTTTTCATCGTAGCCACTCTGTTGGAGCTTCATGGTATCACAGAATGACTAGTTTGCACTCTTCAGATGATTCATGAAGTCGAGCATTTGGATATCTTGTCTTTTCACATGTCCTCTTTTGTTGTATTTCAAAGCAGACTGCTGCTTTGAATTTGGCAGAGAGAAAATGTTAACTCTTCCCTCTTGAATGTATCTGAAGATAACAAGAAAATTAAACAATATAGAAATGAAATAAGCAAGAACAGTCCAGGAAACAAAGACCACAGTGAGTAAGAGGAGGTGGAAGGATGATGGATTTCTCATGGTGTAGCTGGAGTCGCAGATAAACTTTAAATAATAGCGGGTTAATGGAAGTGTCGTTACATGTAAACGTTGAAGATAGATACATCTCAGAGAGGGTCACAGTAAAACCAGGTGATATGGTGTGTGTGAGAATGGGCAAAGGCCTACCAGGTAATTCAAGGGGAAAGAGAGCAGTGCAGAAACAGCATGATGTGAGCCTTAGAAAAAGCACTTTATCATGACAGAGAGTGCAATTCATAACTAAAATCAAATAGGAAGTCAGCTTTCATAAAAGAAAAAAAACCCAACACGATTGTAGGAAATGGCAGGAGACAGAGACCACACACTCGCCATGGGGAACATTAACTTCTCTGTCTCATTCCGTGAGTGCTTGCCGGGACAAAAATAAGTGAGGACATAGCACATTTACATGACATCATGGAAATTTGCTCTAATCAGTACGAACCAGGAGAAAAGATTGCCGACTCATGCAACAAAAGCCTACTTCCCTTATTATGAAAAGAGCTTCTATTAAAAAAAAAAGAAAAAGAAAGATCACAACCTGACAGAAAAATGAACAAAGTATGTGAGCATAGTTCATAGAAAAGAGAGTTCGAACTGGCTTCTAAACATGTGAACATGTGCTTACTGTCATTTGCAATACGGTCAGTGCAGGTCTGAAGCAATGAGTATATACATGCACGTAGATACGGAGAACATCATCAAGCTCTGTCTTTTACTGCGTGGACATTATAACCTCAAGGAGATGTCCTTTCCACCCATCAGCTGGGAAGAGATAAAAGACTTCATCGCCCAGTGTGTGGGCACAGGTGGGAGACATGAGGTGGCTGCCTGTTGGTGGCGTTGATGTTGCTGAAGTTCTGATGTGGTTTTCCTCTTGGTTTAACACAGGAACTTAATCTGATTATTATTTAATCCTGAACATTTGTCTTCTAAACAGACACCTTGCAAGGAGTAATTTAATTGGAAATGTTTTAGTGTTACTAAAGATGTCTTTTAAAAGGACTTAGGTAGGTCTTTCTTTGCATGTGCCCCAAAATAGTAGTCTGTATGCGTACATTTAGTCAGTGATTGTCTCCTGAGTTGATGACAATGGTCAGGATGTTTCGGCTCTGCTTATAGACGAAAAACCCTAACAGCAGTGTCTGTACAATTAGCCATGTTATAAAGGGGTTACTGATTGTTTTGCAAATTGTCAACCATCTAATAAGCAATGCAGTAATAATAACACCTGCCACTGGTACTTCGGTGGAAGACATTTGTTGAGTACCATCTGTGTACAAGATGACCCTCGAGCTGCAGAGGGGCAGGGATGCGTTGTGGTGATGAGTTAACGCAGCTTTTTTCCTTCACTCAGGATGACTTTCCTTTACGAAGGGTTAACTAGCTGGCCTCCTTCTCTGTAAACCAGGTAAAAGTGGGATGCCAGCTTCATCACCAGACAGCATCTCTAATGATAACAGTGACCCCTAACAGGTGAACTGCAGCTACATGAGGATGAACTGTATGTAAACCCCTGTGAGAAACCGCAGCTCGGGGTCTCCCCGTGGATGATGACTCTTGTTACTGGGTTTGTCCCTGGTGGGTCCTGGAGGTTGTGCCTCTGGTGTTGTTACAAGAGACGCTACCTCCTGTGGGGCCTGGGCTTCTCAGCCAAGGTGGGCACCATGTGCCCGTTTGAATCTGGACCCCTCAGGAGGGTCAAAGGCAGTAGCTCCTGGGCTCGGCTGGGACCCTGCCCTTCCTGCCGCAGCTCTGCTCTCTGCCCAGCAGACAGATGCCAAGCATGGCCTACTGTGTCTTGTGAGTCTGAATGTTTAACTGAGCCTAAGATGACCACCTCATGGTTTATATTTGTTTGAATAGAAATTGAAAAGTAAATAATAATGAAAAAAATGTGACAGCCTCTGCGAAGGACACCTTGGCAATTAAAAAAAAAATCATACATATAGATGACTCACATATGCCCTTCTAGGATTTTGCCCTCTTGATACACAGCCACACATACTGTAGGCAACTGGTGTAAGATGGTCACTGTAGCTTCGCTGGTAAAGCAGAAGATGAGAGAAAAGTGCATGTCCATTAAAAGGAAAGTACGGACATCAATTGTAGCATAGCCACACAATGGAGTATTCTACAGTGGAATTGGAATTGTTAGAAAGAATGAAGTGGACTTACTTGTACTGAATTTTCCCCAAGATAGTTTGTGAAGTGAAAAAGGCAATGTTCAGAAGAGTGTTCATGCTGTTGATGTTTAGAAAAACAACACAAACATGCTCGCACAAATTCTGGGCACAAATATGCCCAGAATAACTGCACATTTACATAGCAAATTGGCTAAGAGAGGTCGCCTATGGGGTGGGGAGGGAGGGAGACCCCCTTCCTTTTTTTCTTGTGACATTGTCGGGAGCCCCGTGTCCCTGCCTCTCAGGTTATGAGTTACAAATGCAGTTGGAGCCCCCGTGCGCCCCGCCTGGTTGTGTTTGCCTCTCCCGTCTCTGCCTGTGTTGTCCCCCCAGGGCAAACCTGAATTTGACGTTTATCATTCTCATGTCAGTCTTTATACCTTCGCGGCACGGATAGGGAAATGGACACACAGGTTGTGGTATAGTCACACTGTACACAGGATGTGATCCAGCGGTGATGATAAAGGAGTTTTCATTTGCACGTGTCAGTGTGGATGAATCTCAGGAGCATGTGGTTGAGCAAGACTTATGCTTCTTTCTTTTTGAATGTGTACTTTGTATCCATTCAAAACAGACGAATCCTTCAGGATCTAGAGATTTAGACTGTGTTTGATTTTGATAAAATGTCAGTATGTTACATGTTTTTCTTTTTCCTTCTCTTTGCTGATTTGTGTTGCAAATGTAGTTTTACCAGGGTACCGTGGTTTTGAATATTATGAGAAATGAAACCCATGGGTTAAAGATTTAGTGATGATTGACACTTTTTTGGGGGCGTGTGGGACAATACTTCTTAGCTCTGTTTGATAGTTTATTTGGCAATTCTGATAATTTACAATATCGTGGCTGGGTCCTTCCTCTAGATTACTGCTGTTCACTAATTGATGCTGTCTTTTTTGGTTTACATTGTAGATTGCCCTCTTGGACTCTCCCACAGCCTTAAGCATGGAGGAGAAACTTCAGCAGAATGAAGCCAGGGTAAGTGATACCTTGACTTGTTATTTTTTTGAGAAAATCATAGCTTTCACTATTTTAAGTGCATACTTTTTAGTACTTGCTGTTTGAGACTCATTTTGTTTCTATATGACACTTAACGCTCCGCCCGCCCTCACCCCATTTTTAAAGAAGCACAGCAGTTGACTACCTGTGCATTTCATGTTCTTTGTGACTTAATAAATGGGATTTTTCTGGCACACGATGGTTAACAGCCACTGAGATTCACATGTGGGCTGTCCCACACGGCAGTGAGGCAGCCCCGGCCTTCGGGGGAGGGAGGCCGTGTTCACAGTGGTGGTCCCCATAGCCTTACCACGACCAGCGTGGAGCTTTTTGTCATCCTTTTACTTTCCAGAGGGAGGTGCAGCACTTGAGGAATCACTGAATACTCCGAGTAGATGCTTAGTTGATCTTAAGCGAGGTGGGATTTGAGGCGGGGGTGGGTGTTCTGGGCTGAAGCCACTGTTTGTGTGCTGGTGCTTTTTCTGAAAACTAGTTTCATGGCTGATCTACTTCTATACTATTTTTGTTTAAAAAAAAATAACCCTCTGTAAAAGGAGAAACAGCATTAATCACATTGTTGGAGTGGATTTTGTTCACTGTGCTGAATGGTTAAAACAGATTGAGAAAGAAAATTGGATTCTGTTGGTAAAGCTCTTTCAAGAACACACAATATTGAAGATATAACTTGGGTTGTAGTTAGGAACTTGTTGACACTTCCCTGGATAATTATGCTGATTAATTTGCTGATAATAGCATTAGTGAAAACATTAGTCTCTTAATCCCTATTTTTCTCTTGACATTTTGTATTTTAGTACTTTAGATTCTCATTTTGAGGGCTTTGAAATGTCTGCATAGTCTTAAATTGTTTCTTACTAATAGTTTTCAGAACTACCTAGCAAGTTAATAGAAACCAATAAACATTTTAATCTGAATGCATTATACCTGCTGGGACAGAAATGACTGCCCCTCTTGTTCATAACGTTTTCTCAATTTTCATCTAGTCTTTGCCGACCTTTTAAAATTGTTTGCCATCTGCTTGGCTATAAATCTTATCAACTGGTCACGTTGTTAGAGGTGGTATCAGACTTTGCAGTTTTAAATTAATTTCATAAATGAAGATTATTTGGTTTAAGTTCAGTAGTGAAAGAAACCCAAGGCATACTTAACGATTTGTTGAAAGCTAGATTATTTGATTGAATTGGAAAAGGATTAATTGGCTTGCGTTTCTTCAGGGAGAATTTATCTGTTTGAAATGCCGAAGCGTTTATTGTTAAATGCTTTGTGTTTCTCAGATAAAGTGCCAAAGAGTATCTGTTAACTGATTATTATAAATTAGTAAATTCATCACCCCAGTCTTTTCCCCTTCTGTAGGGAGAGAAGGCGTAAGAATATTCCCTCTCTGAAAGCTTTTCCAAAACAAAAAGCCCGGTGACTTTTCTTGCTTTAGAGGCTGTGGGGCTGGCATCACTCAAGTGATGAAAGGAAGGCCTCCTTGCCTAGCCAGTACAAATGAGCAAAAATCAGAGTTAGAGAGGTTCAGTTCTGTTTATTTTGTTTGTTCCAAGAACATGATAGGTTTGACATTAGTAACTAGTTAAGATATTTTATTGAAAACAGTGGTAACGTAGAACTCCTGTAGTTGTTTGAGGTAAATTGAGGGGTAAAATGAATGCCCATTGAATGAATTCAGGTGGGTGAGAGGTGTTTTGGTTTTGCTCTGGATAAACCATCACTCCAGTTCCTCTATTTCTTGTCAGTAACGAACGTGGTCTTTCATGGAGGTCGCTGACCCACGCCCTTTCCATTTATATTACTTAATGGCCTGTGGGAAGCATCTTCCTCTTAGCAGTGAGAGTATAATCCAGTGTATTCTGTGCCTTCACTTTGACCTGGTTAAATAGGGTAACTTACTGGTGGGAAGACCAGTCAGTTGAACTGGGATGGTGTCTGCTGTTGGATGGGTAGGAGGCAGGAATGGT